TTGCGCTCGCGGACCGCCGCGTGGCCGGGGGGCGGGGCGCCCGCGGACGTCAGGGGTGAGGGGGGCTGCGCCTGGGCACCGGCACCCCGGGCCTCGGCCCATTCCAGGGAAAGGATTCCAGAAAGTTCTAAAGTGCAAAATGGGGACTGATCTTGACGAGTCCTGGGTCTCGAGCTCGGGCCGGGGCGCTGCCCCTCGGCTGTCCAGGCGGGCTGAGGACTCGAACGCAGGGCCCCGCGTCCGCCCCCCCCGCGCTGAGGCCCCCCTACCTCCTCCCCCCTCAGATTCGGCCGCATCGGGCGCCTGGTCACCCGCGCCGCCTGCTGCTCCAACAAGGTGGAGGTGGTGGCCATCAACGACCCCTTCATCGACCTCAACTACATGGTGAGCGGCGCCCCCGGGCGGCGGGGCGGGCGGCCCTGACGCGCACGCGCACGCGCACCCCCCGGCGGCCCTGACCCCCGTCCCCCCGCAGGTGTACATGTTCCAGTACGACTCCACGCACGGCCAGTTCAAGGGCAGCGTCAAGGCCGAGAACGGCAAGCTGGTCATCAACGGCAAGCCCATCACCATCTTCCAGGAGTGCGCGCGGGCCGCGGGGCGGGCAGGGGGGGCCGGGGGGCCGCCTGGGGGGGGCCGGTGACCCGAACTGCGTCCTTTCCAGGCGAGACCCCGCCAACATCAAGTGGGGCGACGCGGGCGCTGAGTACGTGGTGGAGTCCACGGGCGTGTTCACCACCATGGAGAAGGCCGGGGTGAGGGCGCCGCGGGGCTGGGGTGGGGGGCTGCACCCGGGCTGGGGCTGGGGTTGGGGCTGCACCGGGGCTGGGGCTGGGGTGGGCGCTGCACCCGGGCTGGGGTTGGGGCGCTGCACCCGGGCTGGGGTTGGGGCTGGAGCGTCACCCCGCGCCCCTCCCCAGGCGCACCTGAAGGGCGGCGCCAAGCGCGTCATCATCTCGGCGCCGTCGGCCGACGCGCCCATGTTCGTGATGGGCGTGAACCACGAGAAGTACGACAACTCGCTCAAGATCGTCAGCAACGCGTCCTGCACCACCAACTGCCTGGCGCCGCTCGCCAAGGTCATCCACGACAACTTCGGCATCGTGGAGGGGCTCATGACCACGGTGCACGCCATCACCGCCACGCAGAAGACGGTGGACGGCCCGTCGGGCAAGCTGTGGCGCGACGGGCGCGGCGCCGCGCAGAACATCATCCCCGCGTCCACGGGCGCCGCCAAGGCCGTGGGCAAGGTCATCCCCGAGCTCAACGGCAAGCTCACGGGCATGGCCTTCCGCGTGCCCACGCCCAACGTGTCCGTGGTGGACCTCACCTGCCGCCTGGAGAAGGCCGTACGTGCTCTGCGCCTGCGCCGCCCCGCCCCTCCATCCCCCCCTCCATCAGCCCCGCCCCCTCCATCAGCCCCGCCCACCCGCGGGGACCCAGGCAGGCGAATCCATCGAGTGTGCTCGATGGGGGGGGGCGGCCCAGGCAATACAGTCGATGGAGCCTGATGGATGGGGCGGTTCAGGCTTCACCAATCGCTGCCCCCGCGGATCGATCACCCGCCCCCCCCCCCGCAGGCTAAGTACGAGGACATCAAGAAGGTGGTGAGGCAGGCGGCCGAGGGGCCCCTCAAGGGCATCCTGGGCTACACCGAGGACCAGGTGGTGTCCTGCGACTTCAACAGCGACTCGCACTCGTCCACCTTCGACGCGGGCGCCGGCATCGCCCTCAACGACCACTTCGTGAAGCTCATCTCCTGGTGCGGGCCGCGGGGTGCGGGCGGGGGGGGGGACCCCGGGCCCCGCAGCGCAGCGCCTCACACCCGCCCCGCCCGTCCCCAGGTACGACAACGAGTACGGCTACAGCAACCGCGTGGTGGACCTGA